TTCTATACCAATATGTAAATAAAATGAATTTAAAAAGTTTGATATTTTGCTTTGGAAATACAAATGTGGCAAATATTTAGGGACGGAGGTAGTATAATTAGGGGTTCTGGAAGAATCCAAAACAAATCCGATCATTCGAAAAGTTGATTTATTTTAATACTGCCACCAGTAACATCATCCAATTATTTAATGATAACCTTGCTAGAGAGGTACTAATGGTCACGTCAATATCCGAGCAATTCAATAATGTAACCAAACTTTTACTCCGTACGTAGTATTTGCTACAAGTGGCAGTCGGATATACAAATTGTTTTATATACTCCAGTAAAAAAAATAGTGTAAAATTTAAATTTAAAAAATTACATATTTAAAAATAATAGAATATATCAAAAGAATCTACAAAACTAGAACGATATGATTTTATTACTTTATCAAATGAGTAATCAACATAGATCAACGAAGTCAATAAAATTTGATTTCATGAATAGTGAATGAGAAAATAATTTTTAAAGGGATGATGTATTTAAAACCATTAAAGAAATTTTAAAGTGATAAATAAAAAGGTCACAAACTTGTTTTTTTTTGTGAATTTCATAAAAGAAAAAGTAATCTCTCATGATTGGAATTTGAACACTTAATTTCAATATAGTACATTTTTGAATGTTAGGTTGGTTTTTGAAGGGAACTTTGTGATTCTTTGGACTTTTAATACTAGGCCTAACATTAAGGATTACTCCCTCCGTCCCACTGTGTTTGTCCACTTACCTTTTGGCACACCATCCAATGCACTTCTTTAATCCATTTTATCTTGTAATTTGTATATTAAAAATTTATAAAAAATATATATTAATAATCTATATGTTAAGACGAATCAAACGAGATCACACATGACTATTTTTAGGCTTACACATTAAGAGAATTTGATGAGTCAAAGTGCTTAGATGAACAATTCCAAAAGTCAAATGTGGACAAAGACAATGGGACGGAGGTAGTATTATGCTATTGTTAGATGGCCTTAAGACTCGCAATAGTTCATAGATAATTATTGTTAGCATGAAAATCAAATTGGTATTTTCAGGTACTAATAAGCTAATTAAGTAGTCGTAATATGCCTAAAAAAAAAGTAGTCATAATAGCATATAGGAAGAACAAGTATATATACCTTACTCGAATTGGGAACCAATTTCTGCAATGTCTTCATCCGCTGGTTTATCTTATCTCTTCTTTTCTGTAATTTACCATGCATGCACACATAAGTTTATTACACTTCCCAAAACATAAATCATTTCTCAATATAACACTTAAAATTTTTATTTTCTAAATAACACTTAATAATGTCTAGTGGGAAGAATAATATCCAATGATGGTAGACATTTACGGAGTAATGAATAATGACTAATAATGATCCTACGTTGGAAAATAAAAATATGTGATTGTAAATTGGCCTTATATTAATACTCCGATCCATAAAACTAGTTCCGTTGTACTAATAATACGTATATATAACTATAATAATTTTTTTGAAAACATAATTATAATAATTATTAATATTACGCATTATTGTTATTATTAATATCTATGTAATGTTATTATTAATGTAATAATGGTTACCCTTTCGGACTGATTGTGAGTTGCAGCAGCCCTGCTCCTTTTTGTTGAAACTGACGATTTTCCATCTTTCTTCTCATCCATTTCATTATCCCTCTATATTAAAATAAGAAAATTGTAAGAAATTAAAATAATAATATTAATTAATATTAATAAGAAATAATAATAATATTGCCGACCTGGTATCAATAATAATAATAATAATAATTTAATAATAATAATAATAATAATAATAATAATAATAATAATAATAATAATGAATATGAAATGCATGCCTGAGATCTACTGTGACAGACGGAGTGATCATTATCATCGACGGACTTTAAAGTGCACTGTTTCTCCGAGCTGGTGTTTTCCGGCGACGCCATGGAGGTGGAGGTGAACCCTTCCGTGAAAACATCCCTCTCTCCGCGCGTGTCCGTCATCGACATCTGCCGGCTATCCTTACTGTACGTCGCGCTCGCGCTCACGCTCATTTCCCGAGCGCCACCGCCTCTCACGCGCCCGCCGCCGGGTAAGACGCTGCACGACCCTACGTGGCCGGAGAAACCCAGTGCGGCCGCCGAGGGCTCTCGCTCGTGGCCGGGCCATCGGGGGATGGGCGGGGAGGTGGGTTTCGAGCACGGAACCAAGGCGTCCATCGTCAATGTGGCGGAGGAGGATGCCGCCCCTGGATTCTTCGCCGCCGCGACGAGCTGGCGGTGGTTGTTGGGGTCGAACCAAGGGACCATCTCGCCGCCCACGACTCCCTCGACGCCGCCGCCGCGCTTGCGGGTAGGCATGCAGGTTGCTTGGCTCACAATAGACTCCAGAGTGCCGCCGGCGCGTGGCTTCTCCCACGCCTCCTTCAACAGTGTATCCGACGCCAGTAGTTTTGTCGGCTGCCGCGGCGCTCCCAGCCCATGCATAGCCAACTGCCCATTCTCCCACGTCAGCTCAGCCACTTCATAGTCCATCCTGCAACACCAAAAAAATGTAAAATATTACTCCGTATTATTATATTACAATTAATAGGAGTATATATTGTATTGTACTTGCTTTCAAGCGTGTATTAGAGTATAAATTTATTTTAAATCTACCGCAAGAAATTTAAACTTTAGCTGACTTCATTTTTAGATCAACAATTTGAATATTTTGGGCATATCAAAAGCGTAATGAATATAGACACGAAGTATGACAATATTCATTCAACTTTAGACAAATATACGTACGAGGGAACGTCGGTGCATAGAGAATTGGATGCAGAGGGGGCGAGAGCGTTGATGTCGATGGGAGTCGAATTATGAGCATCGTCGATATCCCAATTGGGCACACACTGGCTCATCTTCTCCAACCTTATAAATTTAGCTAGGGTTTATGGATAATTTGATGCTATATGGATTGTAAATATAATATGTGTGTGTGTAGGCTCAAGGAAGAAAAGGGTTGACTTTGATATGAAGCTTAGTGAAACAATGTGCTTTGTATTAGAAGAAAGGGAAGGGAAGGTAGCTAGCAATGGAAGGAGATCAGAGTAATGATTGAGAGGATAATATGAAGATGGAGAAGTAGGGAAGGCGATTGGATGGGAGAAGGGGACAATGGTCCATGTGTTTGACAGAGAAAACTTTTGGGAGTTTTTTTTTTTTGGGGGGGGGGAGATGAAAATTCTAAAATGGGCTTTGGGTATTTCTAAGCTCTTATAGACATTTCATTCTCTATCATTGGGGTGATTGGAACTTTTTCAGTTTTGGATTTAAAAACTTAAAGCTATACAACTTTGGCTGGGATAATAAATGGTTGAGTCATCCATGGCCCCATTGGCATGGTTGTCATACCTCCTCTATAATGATTTAATCCGTATCTCTTTAAATACGTACCCTTTTTCTATTTTGTTACTCTTCGCGTTTCATAGTACCATTTAGTTTGATTTTTAACTTAAATAGGACTAAATCACTAATTAAAAAGTGTATATCCATGGTTGAATTTTTAATATTGTTTTTGATGTGATTGCTAAGTCGTCTCTCTCTCCTGTTTAAATTTCTCTAAACGTTACATGTTGCACGCTTAATTTACGTGCAAGTCAAACCATGCAAGCCATTTAGTAATTTACCTAAATAGGACTAAAACATAATGACTTTCCTAATATAGAACCATATGTTTTTATTTCTCAATGTAGGACTTTTGGTCATTATCAAGTAGTCATTATTCAAGTAAATGTTCATCATTACTGGACATTATTTCTCTCAAAAGGTCATTATTAAGTCCTACTTAGGGAATAAAAAAGTTTAAGTCCTACATTAGGAAAGTCATTATGTTTTAGTCCTATTTAGTGCAAATTTCACTTAGGAACAAAAGGAGTATTAGCTATATCCAGGAGTACGTGGTACTCCCTCTGTCCCAAGTAGTCTTTCCTGTTTCATTTTTTGCGTATTCCATAAAACACTTCTATCAAACATAGTGTATGGGTCTGTTTGGTACACAGAATTGATGGAATTGGAATTGAATTAGAATTAAAATTCCATGAGATTCAATTCCATAGAATTGAATTCATCAATTACAATTCATTTTTTGCACTAACAATTCCAAATCCACATAATTTTTCTGCTACCAAACACGAGAATTGGAATTCAAGTTTTCAATTCTAATTCTATAGTTTGAATTTCGTGTACCAAACGGGGCGTAAGTGAAACTTGGAGTTGTGTCGATGCAATGCCAAAATTAAAGCAGTTGGTAGAAGGGCCCTCTGAGTTTACACCTAATGAATAATGAGTTAGAGTATGAACATCTCCGAACAATATTCAAACGAAACAAATCGGGGTATGTTTCATTGTTTCTCATAACTTGCATTTCCACATAATTGCAGTGTTGATGTTCATAGAAAATTCAAGTATTTATTATTATTATTTTTAAATTTTAACATTCTTTGAAAATGAACAATTTAGATTGTGACCTATTTTTTCAAATATCTTCAAGCTTCTCCGCAACAATATGGCACTGGCAGAAGATTAATGGCTAGCGTTGTTGGTGTAATCAACCATTTAGCATTTGATCAGTTGATTAGTTACATGGTTTGTTAGTTAGTTAGGAAGATATTTTTGGTTGTTACTTGAGCTAGTTAATACACTTAATTCCAACAAGGGTGTATGAAACTATGGATCGGTTTTTGACATTAGGCAATAGTATTTGACTCACATTTAATACAATTGGTAAGATTAAGCACTTGCAGAGTTGGAAAGCGAAAGAACTTCAACAACATAAAAGGATTAAAAAGAACTTCAACAACATAAAAGTGGCAATAAGTGACATACAAGGACAAAGAAGATCAATCATATTCGGAGTAATGTTATTAGCCACATGCAGTAGTCATATTAGGGGAAACACAATTTGAACAAAGACACTTAAAAACATGACTATGTCTAATTTATTCATTCAAGAAATACAAAACATTAACTCAGGATTTGGGGCAAAGAGGGCAGCGATTCGTTCATTGAGAATGAATGTCGTCATTACCATCGCAATGAAGGTCGGGCATGTCCTTGTAATCGAGGGATCGACACGGTGACTTTGCCGCCAAATACATCGTGAATGCTCTGGGCTTCCATCTTGAACACCGCATCAAAGACTAGATCTTTTTGCACAACACACCATTTCCTGTCACCATCACCACGGCACAAATTCAAAGAGACGGAGATGGTTAACCAGGCCCTTTTGGATGCAACCACAACCGAATGATCTAGACGAATAAAGACCATCGGGGCCCACATCGACACAGTTGTCTGAAGATTTGGTAAACATTAAGAATTCACTCTGTACCCCCTCCGGGCTTTGATGCATCCACACACGCGCATATTTTGAAGCCCACTAACACAAACCTGAGCCCAAATGGCATCCGGAACTGAGGCATAAACAACACTCACAACTCCGTCATCACCTTCGAAATAACCATATCACCTTCCACAACGTTGATAAGGCCTCTAGCAAAAACTCTCTCTTGGCCATACATCACCACGGCAACATGGACAACCGCCGTACGATTCATGGGTCCCTTTATCGAAAGGAATCTATGAATCATACAAGGCTAACAGTATACATGTATCACATCAAGCAAAACATAATCACTCTATTTATTAAGATAAGATCAGAGTTTAAGCGGAAATACAACATGCCACCCACGAAGGGCAATTGAAGGAAACAACATGATTGGAATAGTTTAAGAAAACAACATGAGCATAATAAAAATTTCAAAGAGACATGTCCACAAACCACACTGAGGACTTGCTTGCAACTACGGCAACAGATTCACGACTCACGAGGAAGTTCCGGCACGAGGACGACTACACACCTAAAATAGTTAAGAGGAGGGGTCAGTACAACGCCACATCGTGTACTGGTGAGGAGAGAAATACGATATCCAAGTAATTTGTTCATGACAGTGTAAACACATGTCTACTATTCTTTTGTTTCCAACATATTCCTTTCTCATCATTTTTATTCTTTGGGGGGAAGCCCCTCTTTTGTGCTCAAACTAACTGATCAAGTTATCTTAGAACACCCGCCGAGGTGTCTGTCTCAAAAATATACAATTTTGTTCTCACACTATAGTGAAAAATAATCCCATAAGATTAGTCTTTTGTTTTAAAGAAAATTTCTTAAAAAAGGCTTAAGGTGTTTATGGCTAAAGCCTAACCCTATCCCCAAAAACCTCGGCGTTAGGGCGTATTAGTCTTAGTGGTGGCGCTAAGCATTAACACTTGGGAGGTACTCAAAGTAGCTCCTTTTATTTGTGGGCTAGGAAGCAATCACATGAGATCCTTTCTACCCCAATAATAGCGATCGGCATCCGGACCTATTATTATGTGTCAACCTAGGAAGGCACTATGAAATAATCTATAGCCGAGATTTATCCACCAATGGCTATAAAGCCATTTACCTATAGGGCCCAACTATTAATAGCATCTCAGTTTATAAAATTCAGAGATCTATTATTATTATTCTGTATCTAACAGCAGACAATATATTCTATCTCATGATTTACTACTTCAAGGTTATAAAATCATGACATAACAATTTAAAAATGTCCAAACCATAACCTTTAAATGTTTTGGAGTGAAATTATGTATTTTATTAAAATACATAAATCATAACTGTTATAGCCCACAGTTGAGGCCCATTACACTTTAGCCCAAAACTTTACTCTTCTCTAAAACCTACTCCGTAGTTCTAATCTTAAAAAATCTCCTAGGCTCTGGTTCGTTCATTTGCGACGGAAGAAAGAGAGAGAGAGAGGAGATCCGTTCATTTATAATATGGTTTAAAATGTTTAAGTAATAGTTAAGAAAATAACTTTAATAACCTACTCCGTAGTATTTATTTGTATTTATATTTTTATGATTTTTTACATATCACATATACTCATATAAATACAACGAAGTACCTATGAGGTACATACCAAAGTGAAAACCAAACAATTACGGTACGGTTTATTGTTTTACATTTGGTTTTTCGATTTGATTTTTTTCTAGCTCGTTTCGATCAATTTTGATTTGATTTGCGGTTTTCGATTTTCCCAACCCAACCCCACTAGGAAGACTATTTATTCGATTTGACTATTTTCGAGCCAAACAGAAAAGGTTTTGATCATCAATAAAATAAAAAAAGATATTGTAATGCTAAAAGTTTTGATCGTCAATAAAATAAAAAAACAATTGATTATCAAACTTCGTGTAAAAATTAATTTGAAAACATAATCTGGAACAGAAGAAACAACAATGTAACGCTCTACGTAAGAAATGAGTATTCATGTAATATGTAACTAACACAAATCAATTAAGATTATGGTGTCTATTTTAACATTTTTATATTGTTAATTGCCCATCTTCTAGCCTTTTAATCTGTAGTAGTACAAAAAATATTCTAAACCATTTATTTGCCCATAATTTTTTTTGAGGTAAATGAATATTAAGCATTAATAAGATGAGGAAGTACAGAGTGTGGGGGTAAGCAAAAACAAAAGAAACAGATGGAGTTGTTTCGGTAGAAAAATGGAATTGAACTTTGCTTATGTTGGACTGTTGGGCGTCCTAACCATATGGTCTATGCTTTGTTATCCAGCCCATTTGTAAAATCTAATACACGAATATGCTGTATTTTTTTTTCAAATACTGACTCTATTACAATGTGGTATCGGTTCATATATTTTTTAATCTAACGAAATATAATGAGACAACACCTCTGCCTCTCTGGAATTCAAACCAGGGTAAACTTTTTCATTAATTGCAAGGAGTGACCTTCATCCCAATCAAACTAGGGGAGAAGTTCCAGTACCACGACAACTATTATTTTATACAAAAACTCACATTACTATTCTCATAATTATACGATTTTAATTAAATATTATTCCATTCGAGATTTGATAGCACAAAGGTCGTGTAGTATCCGTATTAATTGATTTTACTACTTCCATCTAGCAATAATCTTTCCATTGCGCATTACGATGTTTGAGTGAAGTTATTTTCATATCATTTTCTATGAAAAATAGTATGGAGTTAAAAGAATAAAAATTACATATTTAAAAACTATATCAAAAGATATAAAAAAACTAGATGTGACAATTATATATTATTTTATAAAATTAGCATTAAAAATAAACTAACAAAGCGAATAAAATTTGACCTTATAATGAATGAGTAATGCTGGAGTCACAAATAACTTGGACACAAACTATACAAACTTGATGTTTGTGTGTTTAAATTTTTATTTTTAATTCCTTAAAACTATTTTATTAAACTTGAAAAGTGCACAAATGATAAGTTTATGAAATTTGTATCAAGATTATTTGTAACTCTAGCATTACTCTCGATTTGAAAAAACATTTTCAAGCAAAAACAAGCTAGCCAAACATTAATCAAGGAAAGATATTATTTAAGATAAAAAGAGATAAGCTCGTCAATGAGTCAAGTCTCCTACGATTGGTGAACAATTAAAGTTGTAATTTAACCTACTTAAATAATTTGTTTTTAATAAACCGAGTAATTGGTTAGCTTACGTCTTTATGAACAAAGTAGGTTAATTAGTTTGTTCTCTAGAAATAAGTCAATGTTGGATCAAAACATGTTAGTAATCCTATTTTCACTATTTCATTCCTTAAAATATTACCACCGCATCAAAGAATTCTCTTGACGAATATTACGAATTTGTTCCTTGATTGATATAAACGAACACTGTCGCTTCCAAAAAAAGCCTTTAGAACATACCGAATTACGTCGGACTAATTACATTGGACCAAGTTCATACACAAAATAAGACAAAGATAAGACTAATACCAATATCATTAAGGCTTTGTTTGGTAACAGCGTTTTCGATTAACGTTAGCGTTTTGGATAAAATTTTAACAGTGCAAATTAATTCTGAAAACACTAACGCTAAAAGCTACCATCGAATAGCTTTTTCGAAACTCCAACGCTAATCTCTGACGCTAATGCCAAACATGGCCTAAATGATACCGGTTCATTTGAGAGACCTATGTCATTCAGAAAATTGTGGATTTATTATTTCTCCAAAATAATGGAAAGTGTTTCGCTTTGTAAATTTGCCTTCCTTGAGATTCAAAGATCCAATCGAGCAAATGCATATTTAGATTTTGGGTGAAAGTATTATTTATATGTTCAATTTTTTAATTATCTTCTTGAACACAAAAAAATCAACTACACCACCCACTTTAATATTATCCTTTGAGCCAGCCACTGGGCGCATGGAACGAGTGGGAGCACGGTTGGAACATCGATAGCTCCTCCCCGGCTCAAACTGTTCCAAGCAAACTACACAACTATTCGTCACGTTTCCCGCAGCTGGATCGAAGGTGCAGCGCGGGAGACATGCCACCAACTTCAGAGAGACTTGCCGCTCAATGACGGCAGCCAGAGCTGCAAGTCTTTGTGGAGTTGGTCACACATCTCCCGCGCTGCCTTTTCGATCTAGCTGCGGGAGACGTGGCAGACGTTCTGCGTGGACAAGTGGCGCTCGAGAAGATTGAAGGAGGCGGCGGCGGATTGCGAGGTGGGAGTGACCGCCGTGGGGGCGGCAGACAAGATCGAGACCCCGAGGGAAACGGCCACGGTGGTGCAGGCGGGTTTTTTTAGGAAGGAGGAGGACGGCGGTTTCTTTGTGTTGGGGGGTGTAGAAATGGGGGATCGGGGTATTTGAAAGGAGAAGAAGAAGATAAAGGGAAGGGATTGATTGGATAGGGGAAAATCTAAAGAAAGCTTCTAATTGGATAAAAGATTGGATTATGGATCCCTAGCCCACAAATGTGAACTGGACTTCCGAGAAGAACACGTACCCACGTTGGGGGATGTTGGGACAGAAGAAATGGGGGATATGGTGAAATCAGGGTTTGAAATCATGGTGAAAGCTCATAATTTTTTGGTAGTACTTTGCCTGGCATTTTTCTAATAGAGAGATTTTTCAGTACTTTGCTAATCGAGAGAAACTCACGGACTTTTTTTAGTATTACTTTGTCAACGAGAGATTTTTTTTAATATCATGGAGTTGTACATTGTACATGATTTGGGCTCAAAATCCATTGATGGAATCTTGAAGCTTCTTTGAAATAAGAAAATAAAAAAAATCTAGAGAGAAAGAATAGTGAGTAGGGAAGGAGTGAATCCGCCTTCGCACATTGAAGGTTACCCTTTTTTTTATAGGAAGGAGGGGGGCATTTTTGAGGAATATTTTCTTATTCCTTTATTTTACGAAACACGTCAGGTTTGATTATTTTTCATAAATAACTGAGAAAGTAAACAAGTCCATTGAGTGATCTTCAATCTTCATAATTTGCATTCTAATCTGGTTGATATTGCTAGTGTTTGAGTCTTCATTAATGCTCTAGTTTTTTTAATAAGATGTTTTCCCGCAAAAAATAGTATGTACAATTTTTTTGACCGACCATATGGGGTGCTCAAATAATAATAATAATTAGTATTATTATTACCAGGGGACCTGGTGTTAGAATGATCAAAATATGCGCCGATAACTATCGTAACAAGAACGATATTAGTTTGATGAAGCAACGGTGCTTCAAATAGTTATTTAACTTCAACAAGACCAGAGTTAGTATGATGAAGCTACAATTCCTCAAATAGATATATATTTCATCGAGACCGATGTCAGTACGAATCATGCAAACAATGTATTGCGATAGTAGTATATTGAAGTGATCGACATTATTTAATACAAATTAAGTACGCAGCAACAACTTTGTCGAAGATTGATGTTCGCACAACTAACTGATGCATATATGGCAACGTCATGAAGGGACTGTCTTGAGAGTGCCTCATAAAAAATGCATGATGAAAGAACTTGATTTAAAGAAATATCTAAATTTAAAATTTAAAACTAAATGCATGAACTAACAGGACTACCTCTTTAAGAAGCATAACTCAACATTAGGAAATATTATTGAGGATTGTAGAAACAAATAGATAAAATTGAGTTTTGTATACTCAATTACAACATAGAGAAATCTACTAAAATAATACTTTTATGTTTTTTTCCTGAAATAGAACTTTGCACTGTGGTAATGTGACTTTGCATTGTGGTAATGTTGCAATGTACATGCGCAAATTACTATACTTTTTTGGTAATGTATAAGACCATGTTTGGTAATGCAAGTCCGATTTCGGAAATAAAAACATAAAAGTCATATTTTGGTATACTTTCAATGTTTTAGTCCTACTTTGGGCTTTCTCACTTAAAAAAAAGTATTTAGTCATGTGTATAATCGAAAATTTTAGTATATTTTAGTCCTATCTAAGTAAATTACCCAATGCTTCGCACGAGCTTTGACAATGTGCACATATTGTTTCCTATCTTGTGAATGTATACTTAGTTTTGGAGATAAAATATATGAATACTCTAAAGCATAATGTGTAGTTTGAGTAGAAATAACCATCTTTGTAAGTCTTTCTTTTTCTTGATATTTTTTTGAAGAACTGAGTATTTGCGATAGATTAATGTTACTCCGTATAAGTTACATCTTTAAAAGCATTTTAAAAGGTAGAAGGGTAGAAGATTTAACCGAAGCCCCTGAGAGAAAATAAAAAGCAAGGAATGAGCCATCCAAGTCATTTTAATTTACCAATATCCAAACTTATAAAATCCAAGTCCTTTTCTAACCAAAGACAACATGGTCAAAAGTTGAGCACAGATTGTAGACTCAAGTGTTAGTTTTTCAACAGGGATATACTTTCCATCAACTAAACCTATTTAACCATTTTAAAAAATGTCAAATTGCATTAATAAGCACTCATATTCTTAATTGTTGTTTTCCTTTGTTTAATAGAATCATAATAAGATAACCATTTAACATTGCAAATCAAAGTTCTTTCCCATATCTTCTTCCCCTCTTCATTAAAAGTGGATACCTTTATGCCTTTAATCTCATCACGTTTTACAACAGCTTCCACTTCTAAAAAATTTTGATTTTTATAGCTTTAGGATTGAGTACTTTCGAGCTTTTAATTCATGCATTCAATTTTAAATTTTGATTTAAGATGTTTCTTTAAATCAAGTTTTGTATAGTTTTTTTGAATTGATGCTCCACTTCATTCATCACATGTATAATACTAATGTATGTATTAATTGATGTTCAATCTCATTTTATATTAAATTGATGAAGAAAATGGCGTCTTCAAATTCAACCTCCTCACTCCTCTTATCCTTAATCAACTGTACATTGTCAACCACCACTGCCATGTCTCTTATCCCACGAAAAGTGATACGGATCAACAACAAGATCCCGATCCACAATTCGATCTAACCTCCAACAACAAGATCCCGATCCACAATTCGATCTAACCTCCAATCAACTTGCATTAGATTGTTAAAAAATATCAATTCAACACGTAAATGTCATGGATTGAAATACTAGCACCATTAATACAAGTTTATAAAAACATCGTTTGGAGATTTACCGCACTTGAAGGATAATCCACCAGTCTTCACCTTCACCTTCAGGTATAAGTACCTCTTCCTGGCGCATCTGACGTGTGCCGCATTGAAGATGGAGAATCCTCTATATCTAGAGTCGTAGTTGAAGTGGCAACAGTCTATCGTGCCAAGCTCACCTGAGAATAGATCTCTCGCACATCATTCTATGCCATTGACCAGGAGCGGAGATCGTCGTAACTGGAATAGCATTGCACACATAGTAGCATTGAAGGCTGGATCAGATTGTGGATTGGGATCATGTTGTTGATCCGTACCACCTTTCGAGGGATTAGAGACATGTTAGTGGTGGTCGACAATGTTTAGATGATTAATAATGAGAAGAGGAGTGGGGAGGTTGAATTTGAAGACGTCATTTTCTTTCATCAATTGAATATTAAATAAGATTAAATATCAATTAATACATACATTACTATTATACATGAGGTTTATAAAATTGAGTATCAATTTTTAAAAATACTATACAAGGAACTAGATTTTAAAAAACATCTAAGTTTAAAATTTAAAATTAAATACATGAATTAAAATGTAAAAATACACATTCCCAGAGATTTAAAAATCAAAACTTTTTAGAAGAAGTGTATGATGTTGTCAAGCGTGATGAAATTAAAGGCATTAAGGATCCAATTTCAAAGAGGAGAAAAACATCTCGGAAACTTCTTTGAGATCCAACATTAAATGGTCATCTCATTATGATTCAATCTATTATGATTCAATTTGACATTTTTTCTAATTTTTCTACTAAATTTTTGGTTAGTAGATTCCGCTTTGCTAATGCAATCTGACATTTTTTCAAATTTTCGGTCAATTATCTTCCTTTTCTTTTACTCATTCCTTCAATTATATACACTACTCAATACAGTTTTATTAAAATTCAGTATACGAAACTGAATTTTATCTATTTTTTTCTATAACCATCCATAATATTTCTAAGTGTTGAGGTATGTTCTTAAAAATCTTTACTTTAAATATTTTACTAGTATTTTAACCTGTTTCTAGACAGGGCAAAACAAAATTTAATTTTGTCATTTACTCCGTATAAAAAAAACTTCATTTTTTTAAGATTATGTTCTTTGCATTCTAATCTATAGATCTGTTAGGTTAAAAGAAAATATATTTTTCAGAAAACTCCAACTACACTGAATACGACTAAAACATAAGTCATTTCTCAATATAGAACTTAAATTTATTTATTCTCTAAATATGAGTTAATAATGACTTATAGTTTTGGAAAATGATGAGTTAATAATAAATGATGCTAAAAATTTAGTTCAATAATGACTAATAGAAAATGACCAATGGTCCTACATTGGAAAATAAAAAAGCATATGGTCTTATATCAAAAAATTCAGTATATTTTAGTCCTATCTAAGTAAATTACTCAATGCTTCGCACGAGCTTTGGCAATGTGCACGCATTGGCGGATCCAAAAAGAGATGAATGGGGGCACTTGCCCCCAATGAATTTTTAACTTTTGAAAAGAGTATCTTAATTTTTTTAAAAAAAATTGTTATGCCCCCATCATAAAAAATTAAATGCCCCCACCAAAAAAATGAAATGTTCCCAATAAAAAAAATTAAGTTGAAAATCAAATATGTATTGTTAAAAAATGATTGTAAAATATTTAAAATAACAAAAACATAAGATGAGAATAAAAATTATTAAGAGAAATAATTTTCTAGGGTGTATTTTTAAAAATTTTCATTAATTATTTGAATATATTTTAGATGTTTTTTTTTGTAATTTCACATATATTTTTTTTTGGGAAAAATTGGGGGTGCTACCCCAAACCCCGTAGAAGTCTCGCCCCAGTCACTTCAATTCCTGGATCCGCCACTGTGTGCACGTATTGTTTCCTATCTGGTGAATGTATACTTAGTTTTAGAGATAAAATATATGAATACTCTAAAGCATAATGTGTAGTTTGAGTAGCAGGGTAGAAGATTTAACCGAAGCCCTTGAGAGAAAATAAAAAGCAAGGAATGAACCATCCAAAGTCATTTTAATTTACAAATATCCAAACTTATAAAAATCCAAGTCCTTTTCTAACCAAAGACAACATGGTCAAAAGTTGAGCACAGATTTAGACTCAAGTGTTAGTTTTTCAACAGGGATATACTATTAGAAGCATACCTCAACATTAGGAAATATTATTGAGGATTGTAGAAACAAATAGATAAAATTGAGTTTTGTATACTCAATTATGATTTAAAAAAAGTATTGAGTCGTGTGTATAATCGACGGAATGAGTAAAAGGGGAGGACAATTGACCAAAAATTTAAAAAAATGTAAGATTGCATTATTAAAGTCGAAACCACTGACCAAAAATTTAGTAGAAAACCTATTTAACCATAATTCTTGATTCTCATGTGTTTTAGAGTTTAAGCACTCAAATTCTTAATTGTTGTCTTCCGTTGTTAAAAGTGGATATCTTTATGCCTTTAATCTCATCACGTTTGATGACAACTTCCACATCTTCTAAAAAGCTTTGATTTTTATAGCTTTAGGGTTGTGTACTTTCGTGCTTTTAATTCATGCATTCAATTTTAAATTTTGATTTAAGATGTTTCTTTAAATCAAGTTTTGTATTGTTTTTTTGAATCGATGCTCCACTTCATTCATCACATGTATAATACTAATGTATATATTAATTGATGTTCAATCTCATTTTATATTAAATTGATGAAGAAAATGGCGTCTTCAAATTCAACCCCCTCACTCCTCTTATCCTTAATCAACTGTACATTGTCAACCACCACTGCCATGTCTCTTATCCCTCGAAAAGTGATACGGATCAACAACAAGATCCCGATCCACAATTCGATCTAACCTCCAAGCCACTACAAGTGCATTGCTATTCCAATAACGACGATTTCGGCTTTTGGACTATAGCATAGAATAATGTGCAACAGATCCACTTTCGGGTAAGCTTGACACGGCAAACTTTATTCTATTGTCACTTCAACTGGGACCCAAGATATAAAGTATTCCCCCTCTCCAAAGGGGCAAACAATAAATGCATTGGGGAGAGGTACTTGTACTAGAAGGTGAAGACAGATGGATTCTACCTCAAGTGCGGTGAATCCCAAACAATATTTTTTTAGAAACTTGCATTAATAGCAGTAGTATTTCAAACCGTGACATGTACAAATTGAATAAATATTTTTACACAATCTAATACAAGTCTTGCATTAGATTGTTAAAAAATATCAATTCAACATGCAAATGTTACGGGTTGAAATACAACCACTATTAATACAAGTTTATAAAAACATCGTCTCGGATTCATCGCACTTGAGGAATAATCCACCAGTCTTTACCTTCAGGTATAAGAACCTCTTCCCGACGCTTCTGTCGTGTGCCGCATTGAAGATGGAGAATCTTTTATATCTAGAGTCCTAGTTAAAGTGACAACAAAACATAGTCTACTGTGCCAAGCTCACCTGCAAATAGATCTCTCGCACATCATTCTATGCCATTGACTAAGAGCCGAGATCGTCGGAACTGAAATAGCATTGCACACATAGTAGCGTTGGAGGCTAGATCAGATTGTGGACCGGGATCATGTTGTTGATCCGTACCGCCTTTCGAGGGTTTAGAGAAGTTAGTAGTGGTCGACAATGTTTAGATGATTAATAATAAGAGAAGAAGTGGGGAGGTCGAATTTCAAGACATCATTTTCTTTCATAAATTAAATACGGAGTATTAAATAAGATTAAACATCAATTAATACATACATTACTATTATACATGAGGTTTATGAAATTGAACATCAATTTAAAAAAACTATACAAGGAACTTGATTTAAAGAAACATCTAAATTCAAAATTTAAAATTAAATATACGAATAAAAACGCAAAAGTACACAACCCTAGAGCTATAAAAATCGAAATTTTTTAGAAGTGTATGTTGTTGTCAAGCGTGATGAAATTAAAGGCATTAAGGATCCAATTTCAAAGAGGAGGTGAAAAGGATTTGGGAAATATCTTTGAGATCCAACATTAAATGGTCATCTCATTATGATTCAATTCAACAACGGAAGACAACAATTATGGGTTTGAGAGATTAAACTTTAAAACGCATAAAATTAAAGAATTATAGTTAATACTCCGTTCTTTTAACATAATAAGTTATATGGAATATAACTTTTTTGAATAATAACATAATAATAAAGTAAAATTTGCACTGAATAGAAATAAAGCATAAGTCATTTCTCAATGTAGAACTTAAACTTATTTATTCTTTAAATATGAGTTAATAATGAATAGTAAGAAAAAAATGTATAATTGATGCTGAAAATTTAGTTCAATAATGACTAATAGAAAATGACCAATGGTCCTATATTGGGAAATAAAACATATGGTCTTAGATCAAAAAAATCAATATAATTTAGTCCTATCTGAGTAAATAACCCAATAACAAATCTGGAATATATTTATTTGACACATATTTAGTGTTTTACCAAATGTGGCCTTAACCACCTAAATAAAAAGTAAAATAATTCAACACAGTAGAAAGTGAGATGGGGGTGGGGGAAGTTGAGCATTCTAAATAATAAAAAAACATTTCGGGTTTGCAAAAGCTAAAAGCAAAACTTTTTTTGTTTTTTACAAATCGGCCTAGGACATGCCGATTTTCCTCTGAGGAAATCAATGTAAATCTCCTTCCTACTGCGGGAATTAGTTCTAGAAGGATTTTGCAGAGGATTTCTTTTCAAGATATCCACAATGAGAGATCTTATGTGAATGCATTGGGACTACAAATACATGCAATGTGATCTGTCGTTTAGATTTCATTAAAATTTTATTCACCAGTTTGTTGATTAGTTGATAGTGCATCTCGAGTAACTTTCTTGTGAAAGATAAAGCTTGAGAATGTTAGATTCAATTTGAACTAATAGGGGTAATAGATTGGGATTGCAAATAGGTTATGATTTTTTTCAAAAGTCTCATATCTTGCACTTAGAACTGTTAAATACGAATTTTAATTTTTTAAAATTTGCATCATTCATTATGTTTCTAAATCATGTTCAAAATGTATCATAAAACATCATTAATGCATCAACGTCATTAAAATTTAAATAATAAAAATATACAATTGGTCATATGGTCATATTTGTGTGAGACGAATTTTGTCATAAATCAACTTTCAAATTTGATTATAGTTCCTGAAATGCAGAGTATGTAATAGTACACATTATCATTTATCTTGAATGTGAGATGCACTGCGTTCCCATTTAAAATGCACTATCTTCATTCTA